TAAACAAAAATTGGATAGAACTAGAAAAGAAGGCCCATTGTAGAGGGGGTTGAAGAATGCTGGTCTGTGGCCTATGCTCGATTGGGAGTAACAGGTGTAAGTAAGTAAGTAAGCATATCATGGACTGATAGTAGTTATATAATCATTAGAAAATAACAATTTAGTTTACTGGATTTTAAATAGATCTCAAACAAGAAACACTTTATTCAGTAGAAACTGTAGAATTCTTTTATAAATGAAATGAATATCACATAGCATCATTCTGTGATCCTTTTAGATAACGTTTCCACAAATTTTATGGGTTATTCTTGGTAAGAGTTTGTACATGAACATCAAACTCCGCCTGTAGCCCCTCCGGGGGCTACTACCGGTCCTAAGTCCGGGCGAAGGAGGAGGGTTGTGCAGGGGGCTAGCCACCTCATCCCGTAGAAAACTAACTCGCTAAAGCACGCTAACCAGAAAAAATAATTCAGACCATTTGAACTCTGCCCTGGGACTTGAAGGAAGAATTATGACGCCTCATGATGAAAGCCGAGATTTTTCGGAAGTCAGGAGACCGATGGCCCTCCTTCTAACATGGACATCAGCTAGCTATTAAACATCACCATGTATCTTTGTTGATATTAGTGAAAATAGACAACTATTTACGTATATTCAACTGTATTGAGGGTATAACAAGAACACCTGAGAATTTTAAAATCTTGACACTCAGTCATTCAGCGTTCAGAAAACCCATTGAAATCGACGAGGTTCAATCGAACACTTAACAAAGAATCATGAACAACCGTAAGGTCAAAAATTGATATTGAAGGAGACGATAAATCTGTAAATAAGTAAGAAATGGCAGGCAGAACATCAACAACCAACCAGTCGATATCATTGTCAATAGAACTGTCTGTCAGTCGTAAGTGAGGAAATATGAATAGCGCATTTTTTTAAAAATCTAAAGTCTGTGCTGACGATATTATTCAGAATGGCGATGAAAATTTCACAATTGAACTAGAAAGCCCCGAAACGAAACTCTACCAAAGTATTACTCATAAAATTAAAATAGTGTAGTGAATGTGAACACAGGAGATAACAACTGAATGTACTTGAACACTATACAGTAAATACTAGATTTACAAAATGTCAACTAATTGTCTCAGACTTTATTGTTCATTCGTTCTGATACCACTCACTCTGTTCTCTTTCTCTTCTCTTCAATCTTCCTAACCTTCTGCTTCCAGGAATTCCACTTTCGACTGGTAGTACATACTAATTATATCTGTCGACAACGGTAGCATATACCATTTGTAAGCTGAGGAGTCCCATAATAAAACGAAACGGCTGTCCAGTGCTTCCAGGTTTTCCATGGTGGTCTAGCTTCAATTGACTCATGATTTCAACTGTGAAAATACTAAATTCTCCACAAAACCCCTCTCTGATCTATAATCATATGCACACTAGTGACTGACTTCAAGAGATATTTCCTTAAGTTCTAGTGGGAAGCAGTGGCCAGTGGAGTTCTACCAGGTCTGTTGTAGAGATATCATCTCACTGAAGACAATTGGTGAACGGTCGCTCAAAATCGTGGATTGGTTGAACTTAGACATTAACACCGTTGGATGCCGGCCGGCTCAGTGGTCTATCGGTTAAGGGCTTCGGCTCGAGACTGGTAGGTCCTGGGTTCGAATCTTGTGGTGCAGGATCGTGGATGAGCACTGCCGAGGAGTCCTATAATAGGACGAAACGGCTGTCCAGTGCTTCCAGGTTTTCCATGGTGTTTTAGCTTCAATTGACTTATGATTTCAACTGTGAAAATACTAAATTCTCCACAAAACCCCCCCTGATCTATAATTATTGTATCGGTATGGATTTGTGGAGATTGTTATGATTTCGATTGAGATCATGAACCGATTGATATTAGACCACCATCGAAAACCTTGAAACACTGGATGGCTGGCTCGTCCTATTTTGGGACTACTCAACGGTGCATATCCACGATCCCGCTCTAGGGAATTGAATCCAGGGTCTCCAGTCCCGCGCACGAGCTCTTAACCTCTAGACAACTGAGCATCTATCTACATGGCAAAGACTACAAATTAGTGAATTCATGAACTGATGCCATGTTTTGACCTGTATGGCCATCCCTCACTCTCTTCCAATCGTTTACAAAACTATTCAGCATTGCGCATCGTGGTAATCTGTGTTTAGACATACATCTCAGTCCATGCAGATTCACAACCACATCAACTGATTTACCATCATTCTCCGATACCCTGAGTCTAACCTCACTGTTACTTACCCGGTGATCCCAGCAGATGTGAGCAATATTTCCAAAACATCTGTGACTAAATACTAGTAACTTACAAGTAACTTGTACTCTTAATGGCCACATACTGCTGCGCAGTATACTCATCCCTTAATTGATAGACGGATATCTCGCCTTCGCCATAGGTGACATAAGTTGGCAAAAGACAACATATTTTGCCGAAACACTGCAGAGATTTCGTCAGGCAACAACCCATTAGGGTTGATTAGACTTTCAAGATACGTGAAGTTGCGGACGCGTTCGACTACTTTATTCCCTACGTTGACGCAGGCCAGTCCTGAAGCAACAACTTGCATTTAAAGGGGGGAGAAACGCATTTCAAACATCCCGGCATTGTTGTTCAGTGCTATCAAAAGACTACATTTATCATTGTCTTCACCAAACGAGACTACATCATCCGCGTATTCTAAGTTGATAAGTGGACTTCCTGGTAGAATATCAATTCCTGAAAATTCGGTCGATGAGAGCGTTATTTCCAGCAGTAGGTCTATGATGAAATTAAACAGAAATAGAGATAGTGGACAGCCTTGTCGGACACCACTTGAGGTTTTAAAATCAGATGACAGTTCGCCATTAGCTCTCACTGGACTGGTAGTGTTTGAGTAAATGGCCTTCACAAGGTTTATGTACTTCTGAGGTACAACTTTCCATGACAGATACTGCCAAATAATCTCTCTATCTAGAGAGTGTAATGGTGTCTTTAAGTCAATTTAAACTATTATTGTCGAACGCCAGTAAGCATATCTCTGTTCTAGAACCTGACGAATGGTAAATATGTGTTTGATGTGTCCACGACCAGATCTGGAGCCAGCCTGATTTTCTCGAGTTTACAGTTCACAGGTCTTTGTTAAGCGTCCACAACCCCCTTACTGTTTATAATGTTTTTAGTTATCTTTTTATTTTAGAAACATTTTCCAAACTGCCTATTATAATAACTACAACATACTGTTTATGTATTATGTATATACCTTTGATAAATTGCAATTATATAATGGGGAAGTCAACCGTTATTAGCAAAATGATATATATATATATATATTCTAAAGAAAAGAGAACGAGAACAGAGAATAGTTGCTATGGAAACAAAAGAACAATGAAGTCTGAGACGGTTGATTGATATTTTGCAAATGACGTATTTACTGTATGGCTCTCAGATTTTACTAAGAGATTCTATAATGTTGTGTTAAAATATAAAAGTTGATTCTACCCCCCCCTTTATTTGTGTTTTCGTACACTACACTGACTACTTAATTAGAATTAATCTTCAGTACTTAATGTCACCCATCATAAGGGATAATATATTCAAGATTTTTTTGATCAGTGATATTTATGTATTTGGGAATAAACAATGAAGATTAGAATTCTGTATTAGCTGATGGTTAACTACCTAATTAATGGTAACAAAATAGTTGGATACATTTTTCAGTTGAATAAATTATGAGAGTTAAATATTAATATTCAAGTAATTTGGAGGCAAAATCCGACTCACACGTCCTCATCGTGCCTCCTGGATTATGGCAGCAATCCCATGTACTAACGTGAGCGGTAATGAGGGTGGTGGAGATAGGCCTAATCAGCCACTCTGCCAATACCCGAGAACGATTACGAATGTTACATAGAGTCGTTGCATAACTATTGACGGTTCAAAAAAAATTAAATACTTAAAAGAAGTCAAATAAGTTATAGACATTCCTAAAACTTAAGTCTGTTAGATGAAATAATTTAAGTGTTGAAGTTAGATGGTCAGATACAAAATCTGCAATAGGGCTTCTTGACATTTGACACATGTCAGCAAGGTGTATCTGCAAACAATACAAATTTGATACCCTTCTACGTGGGACGTCAATAAATGGCATCCAATGCAACGAAGATGTTCACAACAAGACTAGCTTCCAGAAGAACTGTGATATTTACATTGTAGCTGTAAATAATTCCCCAAAATCAATGGCTTTCTAGGTGTTCGACATTGGATGCTGACCACATTGTTTTAAATGGACTTGTTTAACTGAAGGCTTTCGGTCATGCATCCGTACCAGATCACGTTACGACCGAGCGCGTGACACAGCTCCTACGTTCACTAGCCAGATTAGAGCAAACGCTTCTTGATATATTGATAACGCATCAAATATATCTTTCCTACCTCTTCGCATCTGACTTCTGGTTTTATCTAATTGGGGACGCTTCGAATATAGAAAGTGTTACTGGTTGCATGTGAAGACAGTTCTACTGTATGGGACGGAGACATGGAGAACTAGGAAAGCCATTATCCAGAAGATACAAGTGTTTATTAACAGTTGTCTACGCAAGATACTCCGGATCCGTTGACCAGACACTATCAGTAACAACCTACTGTGGGAGACAACAAACCAGATTCCAGCGGAGGAAGAAATCAGGAAGAAGTTCTGGAAGTGGATAGCACACACATTGAAGAAATCACCCAACTACATCTCAAGACAAGCCCTCACATGGAATCCTGAATGCCAAGTGAGAAGAGGAAGACCAAAGAACACATTACGACGAGAAATGGAGACAGACATGAGAAGAATAAACAAAAATTGGATAGAACTAGAAAAGAAGGCCCATTGTAGAATGGGTTGAAGAATGCTGGTCTGTGGCCTATGCTCGATTGGGAGTAACAGACATAAGTAAGTAAGTAAGTAACTACGTAAGTAAGTTCATAAGATATATTTCATTGAAAAGTTACATAATCATACATCATTTGTAATAATACATAAACTATAATTATAATGATGATAACTAATTGTTCACCTATATATATATATATATTTAGTAATCGTATTATTTTCCTAAACGTTGTGAATAATGTCCATATCTTCTTGGTTCATTATCTGTAAAATAATAATTCCAATATGATGTTAATAATGGTAATGTAGATTGTAATGGATTCTCTGTATAATGGATTGGTAATTTCATACTATATAATTCATTTTGATCATGATTGATTATATTCCAATCAGATATAATATCATTTGGATTATAAATTAGATAACAATGGATTGTATTGAAAATAAGTAATGAAATAAACATTCTTATACATGTTGTATTGTACATTACTTTTCTTTCTTATTGAATTGGTTAACTATTCTAAAAAATAACAAAAGAAAAGAAATTAACAAGGTTATTTCACTAGTTGAGATCATGAGCTAGATTAATATGAAAAACCTGGAAGCATTGTATGACTATTTCGTCCTTTTGTTAGACTCCACAGCAGTACGTATCCACGATCCCACATCGCAAGTTTCGAATCCAGGACCTATCAGTCTTGCAAGTTAACGCTTAACCTCTAAACCATTGATACCGCCGACATCCAACGGTGTTAATGTACAAGTTCAACCAATCCACGAAATTGAGCAACCATTCATTATTATCTTCAGTTAGTTGATATCTCTTAACGGACCTGGATGAACTCCACAGGTTACTGCTTCTCAATAAAACTCCAATAAATACCTCATGGAGCTAGTCACTAGTGAGCATATAATCATTATCAGAAGGGCGTTTTGTGGAAATTTTAGTAATTTTATATAGTTGAGATTATTAGTCAATTGAAGCTAGATCACCATGGAAAACCTGGAAGCACTGGATAGCCATTATGTGCTATTGTGAAACTCTTCAGCAGTGTGCATCCACTAATCCGCCTTGCAAGATTCGAATCCAGGAAGTATCCGTCTCGAGCGAAAGAGCTTAACCTATAGACCACTTAGCCGGTCGGTATTCAATGGTGTTATTGTCTAACTTCAATCAATTTAACGACAACATTTTGTCCAAGAAACTGGTTAGAAATTCTTCTGTGAAGAATGATCTATTAATTGTTGAAATTATTCAAATATAATTCTTCTGTTTATGTAATATATTACTTGAGGATTATTGTTTAAAGTTAAGAGATGAAAATTCATTCTAGAAAACTCTTTAGTTGTAAATATTAAAGCATCTCTTTAGAGAACAAATAAAAGTAACTGCATTAAGTGTTTATGTTCGATACTTTGAATGTATCTATTATGTTTATTGCAGAACATTTAGTTATGAATTATGAACTTAATTAGTGAATAAGTTTAGTATACTATTGTGAAAACTATTCAAAAATTCATACAAACTATAGATCAATCTATGATATTTATTTTGTGTAGTTTCACAGTTTGGTAAATATTTTAATTAAATGTAATGCATGCCGGCTCAGTGGTCTAGAGGTTAAGCGGTCACAAGCAAGTTCAAGTCTCGAGTGAGAAATCGCTGATGAGCATTTTTATCAACTGAGATGGCTGAGTCACGTGTTACGTATGTCTGAATACCCGATTACCACGACAAGCAATGCTGACTAGTGTTGTAGACGGTTGGATGAGAGTTAGGGACGCCATGTCGGCCAAAATGTGGCATCAGTACTTGAATTCACGAACTTCTAGTCTGATCCATGTTGATATACGCAGACTATTTGGTTGGAGTCCGCGTGACTATCGTAGCCAGTGGTTGGAGGTTATGTAAGACATGACTAAGTCAAATCTCCCACTCCGAATTCTCTCACATGTCCATGGGTACACAACCACAACTAGGGAAGTCCTACACACTGCTTTCGCGCTGCATTACTGTTGTCAACGAAATTGAAAGGATATAAAGTGAATATCCGTAGGTTTAACAGGATTGGTGGATATAGAGGATCCACTTGAAAGAGTTGGAAAACCCTGATTCCGAAACAATTGTGTATATAGGTTTCAGGATCCTGAAGGAACAAATGGCGTATGAACCTATTCTTGGACACCGACTGCCATGAAACTAGATCTGCTTACGTTGTTCCACTACCTTGTTGATCAGACCTATAGGTCGAAGGCTCGTGGTGTGGTCCCTAAGAAGACCAACTGCTTCTGTCTGAGCACCCGGTCAGTATTACAGCCCACACACAAATCAAGTGACGTGTGTATGTATGCATATGTATTCGGTGCCTCTTTGTACCAATATTTATATTAGATGTTGTGGATATTATAGTAATTTCAACAATTGAGATCATAGGTCAATTGAATTGGTGGACGTTAGACGTTAAGACCATTGGATATCGACCGGCTCAGTGATCTAGAGGTTAAGCGTTCGCGTGTGCGATTAATAAGTCCTAGATTCGAATCTTACGAGGAGGGATCGTGAATGCGCCTTGTTGAGAAGTCCCACAATAAGACTAAACAGCCGTTCAGTGCTTCCAGGTTTTCCATGATGATCTAGCTTCAATTGATTCGTGATCTCAACTATTGAAATCAATATTTATATGTTCAAATAAATAGTAATAAATGTCAGTATTTCAACATACATATATATCAAATTATTCTATATTAGAATAGAGTAACTAAATTTTATAACAACCCATTAAACAGTGAATTATAACTTCAATATATTACAATCCATTTTGATAAACTTATGATAATGAAATATACATTAAGTTGAAACTATTACAAATAATAAATCATAATACATGTACATTCTACATTTGATTTATATACAAATGGCGAGTACAATATATTATATGCCTGTAGCTCTTATAGAGTTTCTGCCTGTCCCAAGCCCGGGTAAAAGAGAAGAGTTGGGCATGGGGTTAACGACCTCATCCGGTAGAAAACTAAGTTGCTGAGAAAACGCTAATCAGAACTGGTGAGAGGCCTATGCTACTCCACGAGGGGTAACAGGCGTAAGTAAGTATATATAAGATTTATTGTATATGCATTTGTTTAAAGTATTATAGATATTATGTAATTAAAAGAAAACTATACACACTGAATAGATAGTGTCTATCAGTGGAATGAAGGACGCGTGTTTCATCCTATTTGGAACTCGTCAGTTGGATGTAACTGAATCACAGAGTTAATGTTCACTCCGGGACTCCAACCCAATACCTTAAGCTTTAAAATGCTATCAAGTTATCCCCTTAGCTACTAAGTCCAACTCTTTATTGTTTAATTTATCTATACAATAATCTCAGTTTATATTAGACAACTATTTTGAACTATTAAACTAAACTGTTACACCCAGTTTTATCATTTTGCTTTTTTTTTGTTTTATAAACAATCCTATTGTTAGGAATGTTTCATTAAATTATAAAACAAAACATTGAATTCAATGAATCAGTTTTGTTTTCAGGGTTATGATATTCTCAAGTTATATACTTGTATTTATATTTTACCTTCATAATGTCATTTGTCACAGAAGAGAAGATGTAATATTGAATACCCAATTATTTATCTTTAACTAATCATTGAGATAGGATGGTGATTTGAAGTGGTCAACAGGAAACCCTTGACCCGGGTTTCATGCTACATGGCACTCGTCAGCAAGGTGTACCTATATAGTCTTGAGGAAACTGGTGTTCCCTGATGGATTCAATCCCATGTCACCCAGTTTCACAGTCAGAGACGTTACCATTAAGCACTAAGAAGGACTAGACATGCATGACATTGATCACTATCCAGTGATCAATCAATTGTAATAACTAATTATTAGTACTGTTGTTTCTATGAAAGATGTTTATGAATCTTAAAGATGATTTCTGTCACAAATTGGAAACAATTCAAAGTTTATTGAAAGTCAACGGATAATAAATAATTGTTACTTCTTAACTTTTGATACATTGTCAAAAAGTTTATACGACTTCATATATTTATTTATTTATTTGGACACATAAATATTGATACAAAGGGGCACCAGATATATATGCACTACATATTTAATTGTTGAGGGCTATGATGCTGCCCGGGTGCCTAGACCAATGCAGGTGGTTTTCTGAAGGGGCCACATTCGGAGCCTTTGACCTAAAGATCTGATCCACAAGGCAATGGTGTATCGTGAGGAGATGCAGTACTATGGTTCATACTAAATTTGTTCCCTCAGGATCCTGGAGCCTATGTGTATCATTGGTTTGGAATCAGGGTTTTCCAAGTAACTCAAGTGAATCCTCTATATCCATCAATCCGGTTAAAGCGCCGAACATTCGCTTTTCGTCCTCTCAATTTCGTAACCAACAGTAATGCCACGTGAAGGCAGTGAGTAGGACTTCCTTGGCAGAAGCTGTATACGCGTGACGTTGTGAGAGCATTTTGAGAGAGAAAGCTGACCCTCCTCACACTTGGCCGTACCAGGGCATTTGTGGTCAATTTTTGACCCCATATACGATCAAGATTAAACCTATCAAGTTCAATTGGAAGCATGACACCTTTTGATCAATAATTCAGAATTTACTACTTCATCTTTATTAACTTCAGTCAATTCGATATATATGCATATAACATAGTCCTCAACCATTGTCATCATTGGGGTTAGTGATTGTATTACAATATACTTAAACTTTATCACTTCTATTAAAATCTTAGATGATTTGTTACAATGACAGTAAGTCATTATATGTATTTGATATTACTAGTTATATTATTAGTAGTAATGTGAATTGTAAATACATTTTTGTTAATATTATCAATCTAACTGGGATTTCAAGGTACTCTCACCTTTAATACCAAAAAAAGGGTCATTAATTAAACAAAACCAAAAACGATTAAGCATATTATAATCAATCTTAGTACTTACATGACAACCACCACACTAATAATTAATTACTAAAGGATATTGATAAACCATGAAAGTTTTATATAGTTTGTTAACAGTTACTTTCTATTGGTTCAATATTACATACCATAATGATCAGTAGATTAGTCAAAACCCAAAAAAAAAAACAACTAGACATAACTCATTCTGAAATTCGACTAGTCATGCTTGGTATCCTTCATTGTATACCCCTGTTTTAAGTTGTTTGTTTTTTACTTTCCCATGTCAACATTCCCTTATTCTGTTTCTTTTTTCTTTTTGTTATCCTTATATGGAAACAAAACAAATTTTTCAAAAAAAAAACAAAACAAAAACAAAACAAAAAAAAACATGAATACCTTTCTGTGTGTACATAGAACGTTAGAGACCGTGTGGAAAATGAAAGTGGAGCTTAACAAACAAACCGGAAGTCAGAGACAAGAGAGGATTACTTAACTAAGAAAATGTCATTATATGTGTATATATATATGCATATATTTGTTTATTGAGATGGTGGATGTCGTTCAGTAGGACGATGA